AAAAAAAAAAAAAAAAAAAAAAAGAAAAGAAAAGAAAAGATAAACGTACGAATAGGAAATGAAATTGAAACGTCAATGACTCCTCTGGGTCCAAAGGTTACAGTCCTGCCCTGGAGTAGAACCCGAGCTCTTGCCTCCAGCCCTGCTTCCTTCCCCAGGAGCAACTCCCTGCCCCGATCTCTTGTACTTCCACTTGTACCACATGCCTGCCTTTCTCCAGATGTGCCCGCTTCTCCCTTTCTCTGAGCATGCTCTGCGATGGACAGATGAAGGGGAAGAAATGGTGGACAGGACATGGGGGTTTAGCTTTGTAGCTGCACTGCCTGCCTCGCAAGTGCAAGGTCCCGAGTTTGATCCCCAGTACCAAAAAAGAGAAAGAAAGAAAGAAAGAAAGAAAGAAAGAAAGAAAGAAAGAAAGAAAGAAAGAAAGAAATGGTGGTGGACAAAAACAAGAATGAAAGAAAGGGTAGAAGGGCAAGGCCTCAACCTCTGGTGGCAAGTAGACAGTGGGAGCTTAATAAGTGTCTGATGAGTGGATTTTCATTTATCCTCTCCCTTTAACTACCAATTCTTCTATGCTCCTCCTCGTGTGAGTGGTGCCCCTGCCCAGCTCTGGTAATCCTGGCCTGGCTATGTGACGCTGACCACAGCAGGTAGAGCTGGGTGGTCCCCATCCTGATGACATGAGGCAGTGGGAAATGGGAGACAGGCCCAGATCTGAGATGCTGGAGAGAACCTCAGGGGAGTCAGGGCCTTAAAACAGGAGGAATGAAGGCTGGGGATGTAGCTCAGTGGTTCTGCTGCCTGCCTGGCAAGCACAAGGTCCCGAGTTCAATCCCCAACCCCCCCAAAAGAAACCACCCCAAAAACAGGAGGAACAGGGGCTTGGGATGCGGCTCAGTGGAAGAGCACTTGCCCGGCATGCTTGAGGCCTTGGGTCCCGTCCCCAGCACCACATACACACCACATAAAAGAAAATGCTATATTAAAAAACAAACCAGTAAGAGAACTGTCGCGCTAGCAGGGACCTTGGGCACTGATGTCACAGAGGAAGGACAGGAGGTCCAGGCTAGGGCAGGACTTAGGGAGCCCCTCATGGCCTGCTGTGGGGACCCTGACTCTTGGCCTGGCCCTTCCAGCCCAGGTCCTTGCAGCCTCCAGCGCTGGCAGTGGATGTGAGCTCACCGTTGCAGAGGAACCCGGAGGTTCGGGGGCACTGGAAGTTGTCATACTCGCAGAAGTGACCCTCGTAGCGGCCTTCACCGTAGCACACACAGCGCCCGCACTGGCACTCGCCGTGGCCGGAGCATGGCTTGTCCTCGCCCTCCCGCACACAGGGCTGCGTGTCACTCAGCAAACCAGTGGAACAGTTACAGGTCTTGCCAATCCTGAGGGAGGAACCGGCCATGTCCCTTCAGCCTCGGAGGAAGTGTAGGGTTTTTAACTGTCCCACTTTACAGACAAGAACTGAGGCTCTGGGAGGGCTGAAGCAGGTCCAAGGCAGGCAGACAGCAGGGGCTGAGCAAAGAGCCAAGCCTGCTTAATGTCTGTCCCTCCTTGCTGTTTATCTGCCTCACAACACGACAGACTGCTCGGTGTCTCACAGCTTTGTTGTTTGTTTCTGACACAGGGTCTCACTGTGTTGGATCCCTCTGCCTCAGAGTCCTCAGTAGCTGTGATTACAGATGTGTGCCACCAAGTCTGGCCAGTGTTTTTAAAAGTTCCTACTGGCCGCACATGGTGGCACATACCTGTAGTCCCAGCACCCGGGAGACTTAAGGCAGGATTGCCATGAGTTCAAGGCCAACCTGTGCTACATGGTAAGACCTTGTCTCAAACAAACAAAAACAAAAACTCAAACTATGAAAGGCACGGAGAGAAAGGTGGGCAAATCCCCCACCTGACCTCAACACCAAACCCCATCCCTAGCAGCCACCCCTGTCACAGTCCTGGCTCAGGAATACCCAGAGGTAATCTACTACCCACGTACAGGTGCTCCTCATCCAGGTACGATGGGGTTCTGTCCCAATTAGTCCATTGCAAATTGAAAATACTCATAAATCCACCAAGCATTTAGTACACCTAACGTGAACACTATAGCCTCAATGAATACCTCAGTGTGAACTGCTTTGGCACCATCATGAGTCAAAAAATCCTAAATCAAAACCATCCTAAAGCCGGGGTTGGTGGCGCATGCTTGTAATCCCAGCACTCAGGAGGCTGAGGCAGGAGAATCGCTGTGCGTTTGAGACCAGCCAGGGCTACATAGTGAGCTCCAGGTCAGTCTCAACTACATAGTGAGACCATCTCAAAAAAAAAACCCCAAAATCATCCTAAATGCTTCAAACTGGATTCTTCCAACAGCACGGCCCTTTCTGTGACCTGCCACCCCACCCCTCCTATACAAGGTACACCCAGGGTTAGGACCCTGCAAGAGCCCTCCTGGGGTGCTGGTTCCCGCCCCCACTCACCAGCCCTCGTGGCACACACAGTGCCCGCACATGAAGTCTCCTCTGTAGTTGCAGCGAGCTGACTGTACCTCTTTATGCTGGAATGAGACCATAACGGGGTGCATGGCAGGAACAGAGCAGGCCGCTGGGCACTTCTGCTGCCCTCTGTGCCTCGGGACAGCCCGGGACGCTTGGTCAGCAACTCCTGCCCGCCGAGTGGGGTTGAATCGTACCTGCTCGCAGGCACACATGTCGCAGATGATGCTCACGTCCATCCAGAGGCCATCGGAGAAGGAGGGCTTCAAGTGGATGTTGCCTCTCTGGTCCTCTCCTGCCAGTTGGCACACGTGTGTCCCGTCCACGTCCTCCACGGCCCGCAGCTGCACGCTGTACGTTCCCTAAAGGGATCCTGCCTTCAGCAAGGCAGGCCCTGCCCGAAGACCAGGGGCTGCCGGTGCCTGGAGTTTCTCACCTTCAGGCTTCTGGGATGGGGGGGTCCCTGATCTCGCTCCCAGAGGGCCCTGCCTTAGGGCTGAGGACGCCTTCCTTCCAGGCAGTCATCTTAACAACAGTGGGGATGGCAAGAGCCTCCTCTGGCTCCCATGTAGGTGTGGATGAGCCAAGGATTGTGTTGCGAACACCCAGGAGCTGACCCCTTGGGATGTGAATGCAGACCCCAACCTCGCAGGGTACTGACCCCCACATCCCGTCCCGCTGCCCAGTAGAAGCGTACCACTTCCCCTCGCCTGATGTGAAAGGACCCAGTCTCTGTCTTCTGGAACATCTTGGAGGTGACCTCGGTCCGCAGGCCTCGGGGGCTGTCCAGGGCCCGGATATCCAGGTTGGAGCGAATGCGCTACACGAGGGCAACGATCAGGGGTCTGGGGGACCCCCGCCCCGCCCCCACCGTGGTGCCCACATGGAGGATACGCGTGGGTGTGTGCGGCTCCCAGTGGGCTGGCCAGAGACCCTTCCTTCCCATCCAACACCCATTGCTCAGCCATGCCACGGGGCCCTCGCCCACTCTGCCCCCTCTCGCCCTCACGTTGAAGGCCTCCTGCAGCAGGTCCACGATGTTGGAAGAGTCTTCCTGCAGCACACCCAGCGAGGAGACCGGGAAGTATGTGTGAAGTTTCTGCAGGACACAATGCCAGGTCTCGGGCTAAGCATCGCCTCGCGTCCTTGGGATCAGTCTGGATCACTCCCACTTTACAGGTGGGGGAACTGAGGCCTGGGCCCTGCCAGTGTGTCCAGAGCCTGCCCTCTTAACCCCCAGGGGCTTGGAAATCGGGTTGGGGGTGGGTGTGTGCTCTTCCCCCCAAGACCCACTCTAAGGCTGAAAGCCCTGGGAAGGAGGGAGGCAGGGTGGGCCGGAAGACTGGGTGCCTGGGAAGCCCCACGGACCCGCTCCCTGTCCTCCGGGGGGCCCGGGCCAGCACCTCGTAGTAGCTGTAGGAGTAGTTGGTGACGGCGAAGATGGGGATGATGTTGTGCTTGGCGAGCAGGCGCACCAAGGTTGGCACCGATGGGTAGTCCTGCGTCTTGTACTGGGTGTAGGTGCCTGTGGGGTCCAGGTGGCACCTCTCGTCGTTGCGGCTCATGATGCCGGCCAGCACATTGGCACCGTCGGCCTCGTAGTGAAACGCTGACTCGGTGGAGAACACCAGCACGTGGGTGCTGTCAGGGCGCCAACCGATGTCCTTCTGGGGAGGGCAAGAGGGCGTGACGGTGAGCAAGCTGCCAGCACCCCAGGGTCCTGGAGAGAGAGAGAGGAAGAGGGAGAGGGAAACCCAGCGGGAAGTGGCAACAGGGGAGGGCGAGGTGTGGGTTCACAGTGGGTGCCAGGCTGCCCCTCCCCAGCCCATAACCGTTCTGCAAGAAAGTTCCAACTAGGTGGGCATGGTAGTGCATGCCTGTAATCCCAGCACTCAGGAGGCTGAGGCAGGAGGATCGCTGTGAGTTCGGGACCAGCCTGGGCTACATAGTGAGTTCCAGGTCAGCCTCAACTACATAGTGAGACCCCGTCTCAAACAACAACAACAACAACAACAACAACAACAACAACAACAACAACAACAAAGAAAGCTCCAACTTCATGCAGCCCAGAGGCCCATCCGCAAAATGGATCGAGAAAGCGAAGTGCATTATACACATACAACGGAGCACCATTCATTCATAAAGGACACGTCTGAGCCATCTGTAGGAAATGGAGACACCCAGAGATCAAATTGCTAAGTGAAATAAATCAGACCCGGAAAGTTGAGGATTGAATTGTTTCTCTTCTATGAGAAACCCGAAGTATAAATAATGTAATGAGGGCTGGGGATTTGGCTCAGTGGTTCGGCTGCCTGCCTTGCAAGTGCAAGGACCTGAGTTTGATCCCCAGTACCAAAAAAAAAAAGTATATTGGGTGATTCTGAAAACTATAAGAGAAAATGCTACAATGGTATTAGGTGGAGAGGGAGAGGGAGAGAGAGAGAGAGATTCAGAATACCCCTCCCACTGTATAAAATAAGGCAAAGGGAACGAAATATGCAGGCAGCATATGGATGGAATGCTCTTCAGGAAGGTGAAATTACAGGCAATTTCTGTTCTTTGTTTTCTAAATTGTCTGCAATATGGATGTCATTTTCAAAATGAAAAAAAAAAAAAAACTTATCTGCACATATGGCCATCACTCCAGCTGCCAGCACAGCTGGAGACTGGGCAGCCTGTGGGACCTGGGAGACTGAATGGGAGCCTGGCCAGAAGATTCCAGAGGCCCACGTCTGCCTCTCTACTAAAATAAAATCAGGCCATAACTGCTCCAGTCGGGGACCCTAGCTCCTAGCAGCGCATCAAAAGCTGGATTGGAGCCAGGTGTGGTGGCGCGCGCCTGTAATCCCAGCACTTGGGAGGCTGAGGCAGGAGGATCGCTGTGAGTTCGAGACCAGCCTGGGCTACATAGTGAGGTCCAGGTCAGTCTCAACTACACAGTGAGTAGTGTAGTGTGTAGTAGTAGTAGTGTTTTGAGACCTTGTGTCTCAAAAAACAAAACGAAACAAAACTAAAAAAACCCAAAAACTGGATTGGTGGTGCATATCTATAATCCCAGCATTTTAGGAGGCTGAGGTGGGAAGATCACGTCTGTGTTCAGCCAGGGTAACTTACTGAGACCCTGTCTCAAATAAAATAATAAAAAATAAAAAATGCGGCCAGGGCTGTAGCTCAGTGCAAAGGCCCTGGGTAAAGCTGGGCACGATGGCACTTATAATCCCACCACTCCAGAGGCTGAGGCAAGGAGGATCAGTGTTTGAGGCCAGCCTGGGCTACACAGTGAGTTCAAAGACAGTCTGAGCTCCATAGCAAAAACCTGTTTCAAAAACCAAAAACCACCCGGTACCAAAAAAAAAAAAAAAACCCGAAAAAAAAAAAAAAAAAAAAACCCGAAAAAACAAACAAACAAACAAAAAACAAACCAAACCCAAAAAACAACAACAAAAAAACAAACAAAACAAAACAAAACCAAAAAACCAAAAACCAAAAACCAAAACAAACCAAAACAAACCAAAAAAAGGCCCTGAGTCAATCTTCAGTACTTCAAGCAAAAAAAAAACACCAAACCTGGATTGGAGTTGAAGGCCAATCGGAGGGTGTGAGTGTGTCTTAGGGAATGAGGGCCCCAGGCCACTGGGCATCGCTTTGGGGGCTTCTGAGCCTGGTGCCAGGGCAGCTCATGCACTTGTCATGAAGCAGCCGCCCTGGCTCAGCCTGGCAAGGCCCTCCCGGCCCTCACCGTGCACACAGCTGTCTGCAGGATGGCATCGAAGCCACCTTCAGGGGCATCCAGGTTGCCCGAGATCCGCTCGCCCTGCAGCTTGTCCCGGAACTCATCCACGTCCTCCGTCAGGCTGATGACGTTCTTGAAGGAGAAGGGGGGGTCACTGTTGGGCCAGGGCTCCTTCAGCCTGGACAGAGGTGGGAGAGAGAGAGAGTCAGGAAGGGGAAGACGCCACAGGCTCCAATGCCCACCACTCGTGTCAACCAGAGGGGAACCCCCAGAGCCAGCAGGACAGGTCACTCACTTCTCAGGCCTCATGTCCGTCTGAGGGACGCTGACTTTGTCCACAAACTTCCCAAATCCAATAGTGTAGTCGCTGGTGAGCTGGCTCAGGACTGTGGCTGGGCATCAGCAGGAGAAAAGGGGTCCAGCTGAGCCCCGGCACCCCCACAAAGACATGACAGGGGAGAATGGGAGGACGGCCATGTAGCCCTTGTCCCTTTTCAGACGAGGGAGATGGGATTCGGGGGACCCAGAGTTATACGTCAACCAAGTATCAGGGCAGCTGGGGGACTCGGCCTGCTCCACTGCAGGGTTGGTACGTCCCGTGTCAGGGCAGTGGGTGCCCCCTTGTCACAGCCAGGCGGGCTGAGGTATGCAGGGGGAAGCAGGGACCCGGCCCAGCCATACCCAGCTTCTGCCCCATCTGCTTGAGGTTGTCCAGATCATCGGACATGGAGTTGGAGAAGTCCATGAGGATGTACAGGTCCACGGGGCTCTCCAGGGGCTCGAACACCTCCAGCTCAAAGTGCCGTTCCTCGCCCGGCCGCAGTCGGACTCTCAGGGCCTGCGGGGACACCTGGCTGCGGCGCAGGGTGGTGTCGATCCGGGTCTCCTATGTCCAGGAGAGAGGGACAGCTGGCTGGGGGTCACTCCAGAGACCCGAGGGGCCTCTCAGTCGTGCCAAGTAGCTGGGAACCACAGGGGGCCCAGACCTCATCTGTTCCAGGTACCTCTGTGATTTCAAAGCTGCTCTCCATGATCACCATGCTCTCCAGCCTGCAGCCCGCAGCCAGCAGCTCTGCCTGGGTGTTGCAGCGGCGCTCCTTGAACACCTGGCCGGGAGCAGATGGACGCAGTGGAGGCAATGACATTCCCTGGCTCTCTCAGCCCTGGATCAATTTTCCCTCTATTTTGTGGTATATGCGTGTGTGTGTGGGGGGGTGCTGGGGGTACTGGGGACAAACCCAAGGCCTCTGCAGTTAGCTATGTTCCTAGCCCTTTGATTTTATTTGGATTTTGGGCAGGGGGCAGGGGTTGAGACAGGGTCTCACTAAGTAGTTCAGGCTGTCCACAAACTCACTGCAGTCCTCCTGCCTCAGCCTCCCAAGTGCTGGGAGTACAGGTATGCGCCACCGTGAGGTACTTCCTAATCCTTAAAAGAAATTTTTTTTTTGGGGGGGCTGGGGATTTAGCTCAGTGGTTCTGCCACCTGCCTCACAAGTGCAAGATCCCGAATTTTTTTTTTTTTTTTAATTTGAAACGGGGTTTTGCTAAGTTGTCCAGAATGGGCTCCAACTTCAGCTCCTCCTGCGTCAGCTTCCCGGAGTGCTGGGATTTCAGGTGTACACTGCTGTGCCTGTCTGCCCCCAGGTATTTGTGATGATTGCCTGTTCTTCACATCTACCTGAGCCAGGCCTGGGCTGAAGGGGTGGCTAGGGTGGGGTTGGCCAGAGGCAGAGGTGGGGCATGGTGAGCTAGGTGTCCAGGTCAGGCTCCAGGAGCTGGGTCCAGCCCCCGGTGGCTCACCTCGTCTGTGCAGTAGGCACAGTCCTTGTCCACGCGGATGCACTCAGTGCAGGTCTTCACCTGAGCCCTCCTGCAGTGATTGGCTGTGGGCAGAGGGGGCAGATGCCTCACCGGGAGAGGCCTCCCTGGGGACCATGCCCTTCCCTACCTGCACCCTCACCTGAGAGAGGCAGCGGACCCTTCCCGGTTGTACAAGAGAGAAAATGGCCTGTCCCAGATGGCACAGCTAGGCACAAGCCAACCCAGGTCCCAAATCTGGGATTTCCCACTCAAGTCCGGAGGGAAGGATGGTGCGGCTGAGACGGTGGTCCTGGCTACCTGCTGGCTGGGATCCCCTTTCTCCCCCTTGCTACTAACTCCTCAGGTCCTTCAGATGCTCCTTCTTCCCTCCCAGGAGATTGGGAATTCAAGACCAGCCTGAGCAACAGTGAGAGATAAATAATCTAGGCATGGTGGCACATGCCTGTAATTCCAGGATTCAGTAGGCTGAGGCAGGACGATCATGAGTTCAAGGTCAACCTGGAGTGCATCCAGGGTACCCTATCCTTTGCTTGTGCTGCCTGGCATAATGGCCAAGGGACTGGTGTGTCCTCTACCTCCCCTGGGCTCAAAGTGTCTGTGTCTGTCCTGTTTATCACCTATACGGCACAAGGCTCAGCACACTGTAGGTCCTCAAAAGATCGATGAGGAAAAACTCCAGTTTCCCCAGAGGTGATTGGGGTTCCCCTTGGTTCTGTTCAGTGAGAATCACAGTGAGGTCTACTGCGTGCATTGGCAATGGGGTACTCGTCAGTGTTCAACAACTGCCCCAGGGAGGGAGGGAAAGCCCTTCCATGTTCCCCACCATGGCCTGTTTCGAGCTATCAACATGATCTAACCGATGGGGACATTTTATATTACTTTATTTATGTTTTGTTGACACAGAGCCTTGCTATGTAGCTCAGGCACACGAGTGTGTATATGGCACTGGGGACTGGAACCCAGGGCCTTCACACTGAGCTTCATCCCCAGCCCTCTTGTAGCTTTTGTTTTGAGACAGGGTTTCAGTAAGTCACTAAATTGCCCAGGCCAGGCTTGAACTTGTGATCCTCCTGCCTCAGCCTCCCAGGGTGCCAGGAGTAAAAGTGTATCACCAGCTTTATGTTTCTGAGACGAAGTCTGGCTGTGTTGCCCAGGCTAGCCTTGAACTCCTGGGCTCAAGCAACCCTCCCACCTCCCCAGTGGCTGGGACTACAGGCACACACCACGGTACTCAGGGGACAGGGAAAAATAATTGCCAGCTGGGGACATTCAAGGAGCAGGTGACATGTCAGCAGTCTCTCCTTCCAATTCCTATAAACTTTCAGCTTCACTGTGGCCGCCATAGTTGTTTTTTTGGTAGTCTTGGCTCTCTGGGAAGATGATCTCTTTCTCCTCCTTCCTGTCTCTAGCCCATCTCCTTTCCTCTCCCTGCTGCCCAGCAGGGCTCTCTGTGTGCAGGGCTGATGGCCCAAAGCTTCGACTTCCGCAGCCCTGCGGTGTGCAGTGATCCTTTGCTGACTAGCAGAGAGGGAGAGCGATGCCTTGAGTGGTGCCTCCGTCCCGAGGCCAGAGCAGAACTGGGGACTCACCTGTGCTCCCCGGAAGGCTGACACTCAGCAGGGCTGCCAGCAGCAGCCTGGCCCATGGGCTGGGACATGGCCCTGACATCCTCTTCCTCCTGCAGAACCACAGCAATGGACACATGACGCCCCGACAGCTCTGGTCGGCACCATGAGCTCACAGCGTCGCCATCAGCACCACAGGAGAGACCAGCCCGTCCCAATGCAAGGTGTGGATACAAGGTCTGAGGGCTGGGGTGGGCACCAAGACTGCTCTGCTGTGAGCGGCAGAGCCCAGGGACATGACCTAGCCTTCCCATCATTCCTGAGGGGCTCAATCTGGGGTGGGCACCAAGACTGCTCTGCTGTGAGCGGCAGAGCCCAGGGACATGACCTAGCCTTCTCCACTGCCCTTTCCCATCATTCCTGAGGGGCTCAGTGCTCTGCATGCTTGCACCCCACTTGGAGAGGCTGTCTATGGCCTTTGAGGGCTCTGGGCTTCCAGCCTGCCCTAGTGCTGGTCTCCCAGAAGCAGAGCAGGGCTCATTTTACCTCTACCCTTCAGACCTCCGTGGGCCTGGGTCAAGCTTGGCAGGGATAAGGACATCCAACAAACAGGCTGCCTGGAGAGAATCCCCGGTTCTGTCTTCTAACCACGTGTCCACTCCTCCCTTTTATGAGACAGCATCTTGCTTTGTAGTTTGCACTGGCCTTGAACTCACTATGTAGCCCAGGATGACCTTGAGATCATGGGGATCCTCCTGTCTCAGCCTCCTGAATGCTAGGATTATAGGTGTGTGCCACCAACACGTGGCTCTACTTGCCCTTTGTGAGGGCGCATGGCCTGAAGGAGAGGGGTCCTAACCCAGTACCTCCCTTGTGGGGATGGGGCGAAAGGCTCACTACACTGTCCGGCTCTGCACTGCTCACTGGCTCATCAGGGTGGGCTCTGGGTCCCTGCCCCTCTCCTTCCCTGCACCTGCCTCAGAGTTAGGTTTTCTTTCTTTTTTTTGAGACAGGGTCTCTCTTTGTAGTTCAGGATGGCCCTGAACTCACTATGTAGCCCAGGCTGGTCTCAAACCTGCCTCAGCCTTCTGAGTGCTGAGATTACAGGCATGCCCTACCATGCATAGTTCAGAGTTGGATTTTCAGGAACTCTCAACAGTTTGGCCCAGAACATTCTACCCATTCACACACACAATGGTGGCCTCTGCGGTCCCCTGGGGGCCTTTGGTTCACTTTAGAACCATCTCATCAATGACCTCCAGAGAGAGCCTGGGGACCATGGAGGCCTTTGAATAGGTGGGTGGCCTGAAGCTTTGGCAAAGAAAGAAGCTGGCCAGTCACTTGGGGCCCACAGGGCAGATGGCAAAGGCCAGGGTCACACCTCTTTCTAGGGTCCTCTCCGGGGATCTGAGACAATGCAATGCCCACTGGCCCTCTTCCTTCAGTCCTCTCTCAGCCCCCTGCTGTGGGGCAGGGGCAGCCCTGGGGCCTGAGGTCCCCTGCAGTGCTGGAGAGGCTCTGCTCAAGTAAAGGGAGGGAAGGCACCTTCCCCCTCCCATCACAGCGTGGGCCCCCGAGGAGATGGAGCCACAGATGCCCAGATCCACATATCCACGGGCAGAGGTGGCAGGAAAAAGGTGTCCCACCAGGGCAGTGGCTCAGAGGGAGCCCTGAGTCAGGCGAGGCTGGGTTCCAGGGGAAATGACTTTCTTGCAGCCTTGGGGCATAGGCACCACACCCACATGCTACACAATGCAGGCTGCAGACCCAGCCTCCCTTGGGCACCATTACCCAGGCAGGTATGGGCACTGGAGGGCCAAGCCCAGCCCTTATACCCTGCCTGTGTCCACAGGCCCAGCGCACAGGGCTGACACGGGGCCAGGACAACAATATGCGCCTGTACTTTCTGTACCAGATTGCTACCACATCTGCACAGAAACCCAATGGGAACGGGCTTGCCTGTGCCCATTTCCCAGACTAAGTCAAGGCACAGAGGGCCACTGGGCTTCCCCATCCTGCCACCATCAATGGGAGGGTCTGGTGGGGACCCAGGGCTGTGCAGACTCAACCTTGAACCTTCACCCAGGCTAGAAAATGCCAGTTAGGGGGCAACATTGGCACTTAACGTGCTTTTCTTTTTCTCAACTTGGGTTTAAAAAGCTTTAAAAACAGTTGCCAATATAGAAGCAATGAAAATGACCATAAAGTTAAAGATCTTGCCTTTTTGGGAATAGGTGGCTATGGCTGGCTGGGCCGAGCCTGAAGCGCACACACCCTCCAGGTGGCCCGGTTCCACCAGGGGGCTGGGACTTATCGTACTAGCTGGGTCCCTGGAGTATGTGACTGCCACCTTGAAGGCAGTGTGTGCAGCCTCCCCACAGGGACACCGCATGGACACAGCTTCTCCTTCCTCCTACCCCACAGGACACCTGCACTGCCCCCCCAGCTCTCTCCCTTCCGGCTCTCTCATCACCCGCCTGGGGGGGCCCAGGGCCACACCCTTGGGGTCACCCACAGGAAATAAAGGCTAAGGAGACAGACACCTTTTCCTCGCCACCCCTCTGCTGTCCCCGTTCCCCTCTGTCTTCCAGAATAGAGACCCAGCCTTCAGTTCAAGCTCTGCTGAGGACTGAAAGGACCATGCATCCTGAGCTGGGTCCTGGGCTTGGGGTGTGGCAAGGCCGAGGGGGAGGAGGAACAGCCCTGCCCCGGCACTTGGTGACCATCTGGAATCCCCTGGGCCACAGTGACAGCCAGAGGGCCGCCTCAGGAGCTGTGGGGAAGAGGTTACAGCTGCAGCAGAGCCCTGGGGCTGTGAGGTCAGGAGAGCTTCCAGGAGCAAAGGCCTACTTTGGAAGCTGAGAGGAGGCAGGTGGCTACAGAGCAGAGGGAAATCAGGGACTCTCCACTCCCCGGATGGACTGTGGCACTATACAGAGGGCCCTGCCTGGCCCAACAGGGAAGGCATTTTCCTCCCACCTTCTTTGCAAACCATACATGGGTGCAGCTCCGTAGGCCTGCCAGCTCCCAGGCCTCTACCCAACGCCCTCCTCTAGCGGGATCTGACGGCCACCATCCTCCACCACTCCTCCTGCCCCTCTGCTCCGAGCTGCCCCCCGCCTCGGA